AATAATATACCAACTGTCCTTCCCTCACTAAAAATAAATAAGGTAAACATTGAAAGAACAGAAACAACTAAATTTCTTGGGATACTAATTGACGAAAATATATCTTGGAGAGCCGATATAAATACAATAAATACCAAAATTTCAAAAAATATTGGGATACTCTTGAAAGTTAAAGCTATGCTATCCCAACATAATCTTAAATTACTTTATTTTTCTTACTTCCAAATTTATCTTAAGTACGCTAATATTACATGGGCAAGTACACACAATCCAAATTGAGTACTATTGACATAAGTCAAAAGCATGCATCAAGATTAGTTTATAATAAAGATAAACTCACCCACGCTGAACCCTAACTAAAAACCTTAAAAATCAACATCTTGGACTAGTCCCATCGCATTTTTTAGATACCTTCTTTCAAGTAAACTCTAATAGGTATATAACAAGAGCAACAGGCAACTTCACACTGCCCAAAAAAACAACAAAATTTTCACGATTTTCTATTTCCTACCGGAGTCCGTACCTTTATAACAAAATCATATCCAAAAATATAGAACTTAAAGTATTAAATGATGCTGCCAACTTGAAAAATAAATTAAAACACCCCATACTTAATACCAACAATTATAATGAATTGTATTAAACTTAACATTGAAATTTATACTTAAAAATATGAAAATATCATAAATAATACTTATCATTTATGTTTGTAAGAGAAAATGAAAATTTTGTAATTACTATTTTTAACTGTATTTGGGCAGGATTGAAAAGTCCTTTTTTTTCCAAAAGGAATAACCTTTATAAACTAAATTAGAAATTAAAAAAAAAAACGTTTAGAAAGGGGAAAAATATCTAAGATACTACCTATGAATATCCAGGGCCACTTTGCGCTTCGGGCAAGAAAAGGAATTGCACCCCTTCCCTCCTACCCTCAAAAAAAATTTAAATTAAAAAATAATTTATTGATCACAAAATTTATCATATCAAGTGTAAATTACTATTTCTCATGAATACTGCACAAACTTCAGTTCAAGTTCACTTTTCTAGCTTTTTTGGATGCAAATTCACTAATGATGTCGTTAAAATCAAAGTTTGTCGACCACTTTATGTTCAATTGAAACTATAGCCAGACTAGACAAACATTCTTGGTCCTAAGTTGATCTCATGTAGTTTTTTAGAAACTTAAGTTTACTGAAACTTCTTTCACACGTAGCAACTGTGACTGGTATGGTGAGGAAGATGCGAACAGCAATTGCCGTGTTAGGATAAGCATCAGTCAATGAATATTTATAAATGAGCTTCAAAATGTCAATTGGGCTATATTTTTCAAAGTTGACCATCATTGCAGCAACTTGATATTTAAAATTTGCCATTTCTGACTAAAAATCAGAAGAATCTGTCGTGTAAATCTGAGATAAGTTTTTGACTTTTGTCTTAAGTTCATCTGCAGAACTTTTAGATAGTGAACGCCCACAGAGGAAGTCAAAATCGGAGGATACAGCAAATATAGACTCAAACCGCCATTAAATTTGTGTAATAATGCTGTCAAACACAAGATTGCACTGTAATCCGAAATCTATTTCTTCCTCTTAACTGGAAAATCACCTTTAATTTTATTCTGTTTGGCTGTTTTTGCGGCATCTTTGATAATTTTGTCCACACCAGTATCTCTGAAATTCTGAATGGAAGCCTTCAATTCTTTCATTTTTTTTACTGCGATGTCAATTGAAACGTTTTTATATTGAAGCAATTTGTTTTCCTGGTCAATTAATGAAAGAATTTGACACCAAAAATCCAACAAACACAAAAAACAGAAATCAATTTGAATGATAAGATCTTTTTCACTGCATATTGTGACATCATTTGTAATGGGATTGTGGATAATAGATTTCAAAACTTGAAGAACTTCTTTTATTTGTTTGTGCAATGATTTGGTTGCTTTTTTTTTGGCAGACCACCTTGTGTCAGCGTTTTTCTTTAATGAGATGGTCGATGTTTTTATTAGTGCTTCCCATCTTAATGTAGAACTTGAAAAAAAAGTTGAAGATGGCTTAAACTTTTCCAAAAAATGTAATCATGAGTGGGGAAACCTCAGCAGCATGGACACCAACAACATTTAAAGTGTGAGTTGCACAAGAAACAAATCTTGCTGACTAAAAATGAGAATGGATGTGAGCTAGGACGCCATTGTATTTTTCAGACATATTGGCTCTATTGTTATAACCTTGGCGGCGGCAATAAGAAATCTTTAGACCGTCTTTCTCTTATTTTTCAGTGATCTCTGTTGCAAGACTTTTTCCAGTTTTTTAGTGACATTCAATGAAGTCAACAAAGCTTTCCTCAATTGTACAGGTTTCATTGTTGATATTGACATACCTAATTATTTGGGTCATCTGCTCTTTATGGGAGGAATCTGGAGTGCAGTCAAACAAAATAGAGTAGTATTTAGCTTCTTTGATGTTTGACAATATTTCATTTGTGACTTTGTTGAGTTGATTGAGTTACTGTTACAGCCCAAATTACAGTAACTCAATCAACTCATTTTGTATTCGAGGAGAAAAATAGGACGTTGTAGTTTTCTTTGCTTTAACAGATGCAATGTGTTCAGCCACTAAAGGATAATAATTGCTTATTAGCTCAATCAAGTTTTGAAAAATTCCAATGTCTTCTGTTGTGCCCCGAAGGGCAATATTGTTCCTGGCACAAAACAAAATTACATCAACAATCTCTTTAAAGATGTCTCTCCATTGATAACTCTCTGCATATCAGAATCCATGGTCTTTCCTTCTTTGAGGTTTTTTTCGAGAGTTTTCCAATCAGAAAAGCATATTTGGTGTTCATTGCTGTTTTCATGTGCAAGAACTCTTGGGTTTAGTTTTTTCCAGTCACAAAACCCTTTCGAATTTTTTGAGAAATTTTTGTTTTTTTCTGTTGAAAATAACAAACAGCAAAAACAAAACAATGAATCTTTTTTATTGCTGTACAAAAACCAATGGCGAACACATTTTTCAGCATTGGGATAAATTTTTTCATACCATTTTGTGCCGAAGTGTCACTTTTTGTTGTCAAAATCACACAGCGTGTATGGAAAAATTGTCTTCTTTCTTGTTCTTGTTGAATCAAAAAACATCTTATGTTGTCCGTTAGTTTAGGTCATGTTGCTGGATCCCTGTATTGAAAGTTTTTTTCTAAGGTTGGCGGTATATCTGATATTTCTGAATGAATTTCATTGTGATCCCTTTCAGCCCGGTCAGAAACCTGGGAATTTTCATATTGTCTTGTTGTTTCTGAATTCCTTGTGCAAAATTCTTCTAGACTTTGGCTAATGAAAACCTCCCATTTAATTAATTCCAAATTATGATCTGAACTTAAGCCATTAATTTAAACTGTTTGAAAAACTTTATCTGTTGAATTTTCATTAACTTCAATAATATAATCCTCTAAAATAATTTGTTTTTCCTCTGCAGAGTTAGTTACCAACCACTTCTTGAAACAATTTTTTAGTTATTCATCATTTTCTAGGCGCTGTTTTCTTTTCTTCTTAAATTGAGCGCCAGATAATTTTTTGGTGCGACTTATTATAGAAACTTAATGATTACTATAGTTGATAAACATATATGTTTTAACTAAGTTTTGAAAACCAATACTGCGTTTTTTGTAATCTAAAAAATGATCCAAATGAAATGTGATTTTTTCTTTTTTTTTTCTTTTTAAAGATTTTGTAAAATGATTTAAAGTTATTTCTTATGATTGGACTTTTCAACTAACTTTCCAATCATAAGTAATAACTTTAAATCATTTTACAAAATCGACTTAAACTAATAATACATAAACTTACATAAACTTTAACTTATAAAAACTCATTTACTGATTAGATCTGTTCAGTAAATGAGCTTTTATAAGTTGGAGTTTATGTAAAAAGGCGCAGTTTTAATATATTCATTTATCAACTTTAAAGAGATGCCATAAAAATTTGTTTCCATATATTATTTGTTTTTTTAATTTAATTTACTTTTAATTTATTTTTCGGGAATTTTACGCCCTTCCCAGTATGGCGCCTCGGACCGTGGCCCGGCTGGCCCCGCCCTTGGTACGGGCCTGTGAATATCTATTTAATTTTGAGAAAAGAGATTGTGAGTAGAATTCTAAATTTTTAGTTATAGGCATTTACAAAGGTAATTCCTTTTGAAAAACAAACATTTACAAAGGTAATTCCTTTTGAAAAACAAGGCTTTTCAATCCCTTTGTAAGATAATTAATAATCCGTTTTTGTAATTCTATATATATATATATATATATATATATATATATATATATATATATATATATATATATATATATATATATATATATATATATATATATATATATATACAGTGTATTAGTGTATTTAAACAGGAAATTCACGCCTCCTTCCTTACCGTGATGTGAAAATATGTCCAGAGCTCGTTTCGAACTTGGGTCTCCTGCTTATAAAAATAATATAAAAAATATATAAAAACATCAAAATTGAAGCCAAAAAAACTATTCGGTCAAAACAAAAAATGGAAACAATTTTCAGATCTCCTACTGAGGCCTAAATTATTTTCAACTGATAACAATATTCATTTATGACGTTTTTATCTTTAACCTATTTTATTTTCAACAAATTTAAGAGATTTTCTTATTCAACCAAAAATCAGATAATTTCATTTAATTTCAACCAATTATAGGTACTTATATTTTAAGCAACATGTATATGACTGATTTTGATATTAACTTTCATATCGAAAACGATTCGCAAGTATTTTGAATATATCTTAAGTAATAAATCAGTTGTGCGTGGATTGAATATATCTTAAGTAATAAATCAATTTGTAAAGCTATGCATAGTATTTTGTAGTACAAATACATAGTACAAATTGAATATATCTTAAGTAATAAATCAATTGTGCCTCAAAGTTCTTTTCTTTAAATATTCATTAATAATTTTAACAACTCTGTTCACTTCGTTTCATAATGCAAATCTCTTGCATATCAACAAATCATATAATTTCCTATGTAAGAATGTAAATTTACATCTGAAACTTCATTGTTTTATCGTTCATTGGGTAAATGCTAACCAAACTTTTTTTAATACCAAAAAAAAACTGAAAAAAAGTTTTTAAATTGTTTGGAAGAAAAAAAAAAAATTAACAATGTGAAATTAAAAAGAATAAAAAACAGCTATATACCTTGAGGGTTATTTAATATATAGGTATATTGATTAACTGCAATCATTCAGGAAATTTTCATGAACTTAGTAAAAAACTCAAGCTAACAATGTTTTTTTATTGAACTTATTAAAAAAAATAACTCAAGCTAACAATGTCTTTTCATTGAACTTATTAAAAAAAATAACTCGAGCTAACAATATCTTTTCATTGAACTTATTAAAAAAAATAACTCGAGCTAACAATGTCTTTGAAAAAAAATTCTCTTCATAAAATTAAGATTACTCTGCATTTTTTTTTTTTTTTTTTTTATCTCATTTCAATTACAGTCGTCAGTTTTGGGTCAATTAGGTATCTATCACATCAATTCATTAGAGTAATAAACAATTTTATTGGATTGACGTCGTTTTTTATAACATCAATCCATTAGAATAATAAACAATTTTATTTTAGTTGAGACACATCAGAGTCTATAAAAAAACTTAAAATTCCAACATTTACTTAAGAAGTTAAATTTGTTTTTTACTCTTTAGATAATAGTTTACCATCTTTCATTATAAAATTTTTCACAGAAAGTAAACTAATTTATAATCTTCTACAAGAAATATATATGTATAATAGAAAACTTAATGTATATTTGATGAAACTCAAAAGTATGGCAACATTCTTTTGTCAATCTGTATTTGTAAATAGAACAAGAGCCTTGCATGCATTGTGAATGAGTTGAAAAAAGCTTCAAACACTTTATCCTCTTTTTTTGATTTTGTCTGTACTTTTTAATTAATAATATCTAAGACTCTAATTTTGTTATTTTCTTTTTGTTTTCCAACTCTTCTTTAAATAGTATCACATGTAAATGCAAACATGCACAAACAAAATGTGTCAACAAGTGATTCTTAACATAAAATATTAACAACTTTATTGTCTAACTGTGTTTCCCAATTTTAAAAAAGCATGACTTAAGAAAACGTAGACATCATGAAAATATTGATACCAACTGTCAGTTGATTTTCCAGCATTAAAGCTAACATATTTAGTTATCATTTGTCCTGGTAACGTTTTTCTATCTTAGGAATGTACTTATGTAACTATTTTCCGTGTTCATCAATCACAACTCAAAATATATCAGAAAAAATAATTCAAGCGTGAGTTTGTTAAACAAATCTTAAATGAAATGTTGCAACCAAATGGATAATAAGCCAACAAAAGCTTGCTAACCAACTCTCTGTAGCGCTTACTTATATGGTTACCCAAAAAATTTGCGACAAATTTCATAAAAGTTTTCCGCACTAACTTTTTCATATCACTCAATCATGCATTGATTATCTGTTCTTTAAATAATTTCCCGACTTGAAGACCAACAAAAATACTCTTTTTTATTTTGCATTATTTGCTTTTAGAAACTTATCTTTTAGATACAAAATTTACTTTCCATTGAAATTCAATTTAAATTACTTATGAATAGTATAAATGGTATTCATTTAAAAAAAGTAACTATGCATAGCTTTACAAAATGATCAATAACCGATAGTTTTTGTATATGCCTAATATGGTATGCAATTAAAAAAGTAGTACTTTGTATAGTTTTACAATTTTTTTTTTAATTTTAAGTGCCCCAAGAAACCCTTACGGTCTTATCACAGAACACCGTGGAAGAGCATTTAAAAGGAACTTCACGCCTCCTTCCTTACTAATGTTATAAAACTTGCCCAGAAGTGGCGTTGAATCACAGGACTTTAGTTTCTAAGACAAGCATGCTATCAACTGCGCTACGGCTGGTCAAAATAGATCAATAACTGATAGTTTTTGTCCAGGAATTAAGGATTTGTTTAGCTTCAACTTTGGAGTAAGTATACTTTCGTTATGTAGTAGCACTGCTTTCAGACTTACTTTAGAAAAATTGCTTAAAGTGGAAGATTGTGTGATGCCAATCTCAACGGATGCAGAGAAACTGGTATATGCAAATTTTTACTATGCAGGAGTTTCAGTCAGCAATTTTATTCCTTTTTTCTTTATAATTTACAATGCAGAACTGCTCATTGCAGAAAAGTTTGCTTCTTATCACTATAAGAAAAAATAGCAGATCGATTAGAACCTTTCAAACAAATGTCTGCATATGGATTGAAAAAAAAACCTTGCGAATTCTGTGACATCAACAGTTAATTCATTCTTACATAAATTAAATGTTAGATATTTATTTCTAAAAATGCAGATGATGAAATACAAGTGGTAAATTTAATATCATTTTTATTCGTAATTATTACTTCTGTATAATGTATATATTAATATATATTAACATAGCTTTATATTAAAGTCATAAATAATAAAGTCATTAAAAAAATTCTGGATTTGATTTAATTAAGAAGCGTTACATAATACTACAAACTTCTGTCGAATGAGAAAGAATGAGCGAGTTTTGCAGCATAGTGCTAATCGCTGAATGAGCAAGGTATGTGGTTGAACCATTCTTTATCTTTGAATCTGCTAAATCAACGTTTTGGGCAGCCGGCTCCAGCGAAAAGAAATCATCTCTTGACTACAAACAAATGTTATATTTAGTACAATTTAATATAATTTGAATAATTAAATAAGTTGTTAAATAAGTTGATCAACTATATAAAAAATTCAAAGAAATTTAAAACGTTTTTTCCAAAACTTTTGTTTAACTTTTAATTATAGTCTGTTTTTTCTAATCTCAGAGACCTCAAAATGAAATTCAAATGCTTATTTTCTTACATAAAACATGAGCAGTTTGAAGATTTGGGACCTTTATATCGCACACCCTGAAAGTTTGGGGTCATAATACCAACAAACACATTCCATCAAAATCCTTTTGACTGATGGATCTTGATATGTTTAGGTGCAAAAATAAAATTAAAATCGTGGATTAAAATCCAAAGAAGATATTAGAGTTTGATGGCTACAACTAATTTTGCGGCCCCGTGGGGACCATTGTTTTTTAATTTTTCTATAAAAAAAATATATTTTCCATCTTTAAATGATTGTAAAAAGGAAGCTCAATACAAAGAATGTTTTAAAGATTAAAATTCACTCTTAATTTATTGAGCTTATCTCTTGACTCAACACATCTCTAGCGCTTACTCGTCCATAAACCATAAACAAAAATGGGAAACTGTAAAACGGAAAACGAAACTTCAAAAATGCTCACGTTTGCAAAAAATCACAATGAGTGCAGAAAAATCTGACTACTTTATTTGTATGAAAAAAATGCTTCATTTCATACAAATAAAGTAGACAGCGAAATGACAGAGTCATTTCGCAGTCAGCGAAATGACTCTGTCATTTCGCTGACTGCGAAATGACAGAGTCCTACAGGAAAAAGATTTTGGAAGCTTTTTCAAAAAATATCAACTTAGACGATGACAGAGTTCCAATAGGAATTTGCATGGCTTGTCGTCTCAAGATAAATAAATCAGGTGACAAGGAATCAGTGCAAAATCTGCTAAAACTTTTCAATTTTGAATCCATTCAAGTTACAACTTTGACTCGACAAACAAGTACTTGCAACTGTTTAATTTGCGAAATTGCAAAAAACAGAAGCAAAGAAAAGCACCCATTGCAATAGTAAAAACAAGAAGAAGTAACCAATCATTAAGCGTAAATAACAGAAAAACCTTGTACAAGTTGCTATTCAGTAGTTGCCCGCGACTTACCTTATCATTGTACTGAAGGAACTCGTCATCTAAAACTCAGAATATTAGCAATGGCAGATCCTAATGGAGCTGAGCAGATAGCGTCATCAGTGATTTCCTCTATAGATTCATCACCAAGAGAAACAATTCAAATTAGTCAACTCCATGGTCCAAGATTGGGTGTGAGAAAAGGTAAAACATAAAAACAATTTTCATAATAATTGTAAAATCATAATAGTTAATGGTTAACAATTTTTAGGTTTCTCATCAGCATCTCAGCAACTCTTTCAAACACTTTTAAGCACTCAAGAAATGGTTGCCATTCAACACAATACAGTACTTTCAAACACAGACATGAGGAAACTTGGATCTGCTCTCAACCCAATTAGCCCTACTCGACTGGTTGAGACAAATTTTTAACAAAAACTAGCAGACTATGGAAAAAGTTACAAGAAAAAATTTTTTTACAGTGAGCACCATCAAGTTGTCTGAAACATCATGCGTGGAATTCAATCACATGCCAGCAAACACCCACGTTGTTGGTGTGAATTTGAGTCAACAAAAATCTATGAGTGTGGTGAGATGAGAACCTTTGGAAAAATCAGAAAACATTTTCAGGACTTCCTCAACAGCGGAGGAAACTCAGAGTGCAGAATCATTCCAAAATGCAGTATATCCTCCCCTTTTTCTATTTGAAGACCAAACAAGCATTTTGGAAGTGATTCCATCAATGGAATTGCATTTGCTCATTGATGTTGTCAACCATAATGAAAAAATCTTGCTCAGATGTGGTCAAAGAAATTTAATTGGCTTGCTTCACTTCATATTCCTCTTCTGCTTTAACGTGGGGGCACTACAATGGCAATGACTGCATGAAGCTGTTGAGGAAAGTAGATGGATTGAAAAATTTAACTGAGTCTGAGAATGCAAAACAAGCATCGGATTTTTGCAACTGTTTGGCATTGTTCAAAGATGTTGTTTCTGCTTGCTTTAGCTGTGTCTTGGATCTGGAATATGAGTTGAAAATAAAAAAATACAAGACAAGTTACCTGAAGTTGCAAATTTCAGTTACACCAAAAACTCATGCAATCTTTTTCCATTTGCCACAATTCATCAAAAAGAACCATATGGCACTTGGGCTCTTCAGTGAACGATGCACTCTTACTTCAAAACCCATAGGGAGAGGTTTAAGTGTGATAGCTCTCACCCAGATTACCCCAAACAACTTTGAACTGTATTTTGGATTACAACAGCAAAAAAGTTTAAAGTTATCGTCACAGAATGTTTGTAAACCAATATGAATATAAAAAATTCTTTTGAATTGGCATATATGAAGTTTAGAATATCAAAATTTTATTTTATGTTTAAAGAACAACATTTTTGAATCTGTTCTTATTTTGTTTAAAATGAATTTTAGTAATTTGGACAATTTTTCATATAATTTATAATTTTCCTAGAATTTTTTTCTGTAATTTTGGGTATTTTGAAATTTACTATTAAAAAAAATAACAAAACAATAAAAGTAATATTTAATGTAATAAAAATGCAAAAGAAGTTAGCCGATAACAATAGTCATCATTTTTATTTCTTTGCAAAATTCAATATCTTCAATTAATATCGAAAACCATATTTTAAACTGTTAAAGAATCTCACCAAAATAAAAATTGTAGGATTCAAAAAAAGTGAAACATTTCTCCTGTTTTCTATAACATAATTTTTAACAAAAGTGTTTGCAGTGTTTTACATCAAAAATATATTTATTAGACCTCAAATCTGATTTTTTTAAAGCAACTACTAGAGTGAAGGAGTAAACTTACTACTTTCTAATAAAATATTAACATGAAATTAAATCTAGTAGGCGAAACAAGTGTAGTTCAATTTTATTTAAATTTGTTTTGTTGACCATGGTCTTTTAGTTTTTTGTAGTTAAATTGACCACAATCTTTTAGCATACTTTTTGTAGTTAAATTATTAGCCCTCTTGACTATAGCAGCCCCCCAAGCCTTGAGTCAATATACTTAAAAAAAAAGAGATGGCAGTTAAAAGTGAGAGATGGCAGCTAAAAGTCCTTTGGTGCCACTAGAGAAGGTCTTTGGGTGCAAAAGCACATTGTGAAGTTAGTTAACCTTTAAAATGTGTTTTTACACAAAAAAGGTAATACCATATTAAAAACCCAATGTGAAAATAATAGTTGTTCTTACCTTTCCACCATTAGTGTTTAAATACAACTGAATAGCATCTTCCATTAACTAAAGTATGATAATGACCTTTATAAAATAATTAAAAAAAAAAGCATATCTAAAAAAAAAAAAGGTAAAATGATTTATCAAAGCATTCCTCCACCTAACTTCCACTTATTTCATTTTTTTTTGAATAATTATATTAATAAAACTTAAATTATTATTTGTAAAACCTTCATAAGTTGTATTGTTGACTGAATCTGAAGCTCAGGGTTGCGATCAAGAATTGTTGATATAATCATGATCAACTAAAAATTGTAACAGCTTTGATTAATGTATATATACACATACACATATATACATACATACATACATACATATATACACATATATACATACATACATACATAAATATCTAGTTTGAAACTATTGCGTGAATCCAATAAAGCATTTATCTATACTATTAACTAACCTCTACAGACATTTGCCTTTCAACAGGTGTGGTTGAATTAGAAAGCAATTCTTCAACCTGAATCTTATAGTCAATTTCATTTTTCGTCATAACTGACAAAATGGGTTGCTGTTGTAGGTGACAGAGACCAAGTTGAATTCCTTGGGGGCATTGTTCAAGAAGTCGCCAAACTAGATGATAAACTTTTTTTTTTAATTTTTATCCAACTTTTTTTATCAAATTTTATACAACTTTGTGTAACAAAAAATTTAGTTAAGTTAAATATGAAAAATAATAACTAAAAAACACATTTGCTACAAAAAAACATACATTTGCTATAAAAACCCTGAGGCAATCTGTTAAGAGCTCCTTCCAACCTTCTTCGCTCCAGTGCATTTCTGAAAATCCGAAATCAACTTTTTTTATAAATCACTCTCCGTAAAAAAGAATTTCTTTTATCCAACAACAACAAAAACAACAAAAAAATATACCTAGGTGTTATATCAACTTTGCGAATAGTTCCTTTACCAGAAAGAACAGCAATGAGAAGTTGTTTAATTTCATGAGGATAAAGAGAAAATATTTCCTGTCAAAATTCAAATAATGTATATAAAAAATATAAGCAATACAAAATATAAGCAATACAAAAAAACTTTAAAAGGTACAGGTACAGCTGTCAATATCTAGTTGACAGCTGCACCTGTACAAAATTTTAAAAATCAGAAAGGATAAAATAGATATTGATACCTGTACACCTGCTTTTAAAAATCAGTAAGTGTTAAAGAAGAGATTGAAAAGAGTAAAAAAGGTAAAAACAAACTTAGTCTAAATTATATGTTTTTTGGAATAAATTTTAAAAAACTAAATAGTAAAATTTATTCGAAAAAGTTAAAAATAAAATATTTTTCTTCATATATACTTTTTATTGTCAATATTAAGAAGAGTTATATGCAAAAAAGTTTTTATTTAACATTTTTTTAAAAAAAAACAATGTCAGCCACAAAAAAAAAAAAAAAAAAAACCCTGTGATTTCTTAAGAAAAACAATAAATGTTTTTCTAAAGAAATCTTTGTAAAGTTTCACTTATATGCTGTTCTGATTCAGGTTTGCTTCTTTTAGATTATATTTTTTATAAAGGTTGATCAACATCTTGAAAAACTAATTTCATAAATTATTCATATAGAAATCCTAATTTACAAACAAAACCCATAAAGAAGACTAAAATTTTGCGTCTCTTATTATCTTATATTGTTTTTGTGTCTCTTATTATCTTATATTGTTTTTGTGGCATTTACAATATCCACAAAAACAATATCCATGAAAAACTAATGGTATTCTAAAAATTATTCACATAGTAATAATAATTTACAAACAAAACTTATGGACTTATAGGAAAAATAAATCTTGGTGTCCTAGCATTATTACAATATCCAAAACTCTTACAAAATTCTATAAACACCACTAATGCACAGTATATATTCAATAGTAAACTTTTTATTACATAAACTTACAATGGGTTGCATACCACGAAGTATAGCACTTTGTAAACATATCTTCATTGCTTGAATTATCCAACTTTTAAATAATTAAAAGAAAGATCAAATTACTTGAGTTCAAAAAAAGATATTATATTAAATAAAAAAAAAATTAAAAATAAATATTTAATTAAATATATAGTGCCAGAAAAAAAATAGGCATGGATCAAGATATTTATCCTAAATATTTCTGCCAAATTTAAAATTGTTTTTTAAAAATGATTAAAACATTAAAAACTTCAACCTGTTTTTTAAAAAAAATGCACAAAAAAAAATAATTTAAAAATTAATTACTGAAATAAAAAAAAAAATATATTTATGTTTTATATATTTATGTGTAATATTATTACATACATGCTACAACAATTTTTTTTCAACAATTAAATTCTAAAACATAAACTGTGACAAACGAGGCTGCTGTACAAAAAAAAAAACCTTATAATTTTTTTTTTGCTTGATAAATTTTTAGAAGAATAAAAACTTGTTATAGTAATAAATGCTTAAACAAATTTTCAACTTTAAAAGACAACAATCACATTGCTTGCTTACCCAAAAATTATGAGCTGACTTACCCAACTCGAATTTTTAACATTCCTTTAAATAATTCTAGATTAGTTGAAATAATCGCACCAAGGTGGAGTATTATCTATGAGATAAAAATATTAAAATTATGTAAAATATGGATTAATTATGTCAATGCATTGAAACTATGAATGGATGTGAATCAACAACCTTTAAAAATAAGCTGGGTCACATTAATTATCTGTAGGATTGGTTGGTCAATAAATATGGGATCTAATAATGTTGATATATAGGGCAATAATAAATATCAGTTAAGTGCATGCATCTCAAGGATGAAAGTAGAAAATGTAAAAATTTTATATTTTAGAAAACATTTTAAAAAAAGATACAAAGACAAATCTACTCAATGTTTGTGAAAAAATACTAGAAGTAGTTACTATGGAATGCAAAAACTATGAAGCAAGATAAGAGAAGTGTACAAAAGAGATACATAAAAACTATGAAGCAAAATAAGAATACATAAGATATATATATAAAAAGCATACATAAGATATATATATAAAAAGAAATAACATGCTTTTTTCTTTCCCCCCTTAAAAGGTGAATAAACCTAGTACCTAGTATTTTTTTAAAACATACCTTTTTTCTTTGAGTTATATGTAATACTTATATTGTTAAACAAAATATAGATTGTTATTGTTATTAATAAAGTTTTTTTTCATATATTATTATTTTTAAGTATTATAACTTGAATCATTGTTTAAAACAATATATTGGTAAAAATTAAAAGTTTAAAAAAAGAAATATCACTATTGTAATAATATATGTGTTACCACAAAGTTCTTAATTGCAAACAAATAGGGGAAAGGCGCCTATGATGGCATGCCGGTCATATTTCCACAAAAATTGCTTTTGGTGAAAAAGTGATTAAACCTACATGACTATACTGGCTTTACATTAGTTTTAGTGAAAATATGTCTCTTGTGCACAAATTTAGTTTTTATAATCAACAAAAATCGATTTTGGGATGTGCTGATTTATTATAATGATTGTGCTTTACTATATACCTACTTTACATACTTGTGCTTTTTTTAAAAATAGGAATTACTTATAAAAAAAAAACAAAACAGATGAAAACTCCGAGGGTTATTATTGTTCTACATGTAACAAGGAATGTATCTATATCAAAACTTTTATTATTGGTTGTCAGGATGCTGAATAATGAAGCTTCAAAGTTAAGAATGCCATCATAGGCGCCTTTCTATTACAAATTTTTAAAACTAAAATAAACCTCTTGGTGAAGAGATACTTCTCTTGAATCAAGTCCCATGCACTCATCTTCAAATATTTTCTATTAAAAAAATAGGTAAAACAATGTATAAATTAATCCTCTCTATATATTTTGCAAAAAGATACAAAAAACTTTTGTATTCTACAAAAATAAAATAAAATAACTTAATTTAAAAAACAACATTTTTTTTCCTCTAATAAATCTTTTAAACTTAAACAATTCCTGCCACAACCAAAAACTATCAGTCTAGCTTCAGGACCCTATACCTCCTATACCAGGTTAATATGGTTTTCCTTAGAGTCATAGATCAAAATATTTTTTCATTCGCAGGTATTTAATCCATCATGGATTCACCTCACACTGGCCTCTGATTATACTATACATTACAATACATACAGCGAAGACTGATAAATTAATTTTATGAATTGGTCACTATATACAGACAAGAACGATCTTATACCTAGTACCTGAAGGAAACCAACAGATACAATCAACCTTTTATGCCAATATCTACTTCATTCACCCATGCCATCTTAAAAATGAAACATTAGTGTATTATCAAAGATGACCCTTACTTCATTACTTAGCAAATATATTCTTATTAAAACCTGTATCTAGTCATTCCGATATAACCTCAATTAGAAATATACAGTATTTTATCTTCTCGATTCTATTTTACTTTGTGTTTCTTGTATTTCTCCAATAAACAAAGTCTTTTTTATACTATATCTTTTACACTATTATTATTAGCACATATTATATTAACATTCTTTGCAAACTGTACCACCTATATACTATTTATTTTATACTAAAAATAATATTCAAATATTTTATTATTTGCTATGATTTTTTATTAATTGCTATGATTTTTTATTAATTGCTATGATTTTTTATTAATTGCTATGATTTTTTATTAATTGCTATGATTTTTTATTAATTGCTATGATTTTTTATTAATTGCTGATTTTTTATTCCTGAGGCATTTTCTTTACCCAACCTTGTTAAGCAAGTTTGGGTAAAACTTGCTTAACAAGGTTGGGTAAAAGTAAAAAACTGGCATTTTTATTGTAAAGTATCTACAAAGTTTTCACAGGCATTTCTTTTATTTTTTTGATACAACAGTATTGTTTTAAGTTTGACTTCATAAATCTACATAATTCTATTTAGAGCAACATAAAAAAAGCAACCTAAGATGTCATCTTAAATCTCAAAAATAGTCAACAATAATGTACACTAAATTATAAACTAAACTGTATTCAATAATAAACTATAACATAAGAAAAAGAATGTAAAAAACAAATTTTAAAAAAAAGTTAATCAATGCTTATTTCTACATTTTCATAACATATAAAACATAATAAAAGATTGAAACATTAAAATCAATTATTACCTTTATGTCAGAGGGTGTGAGAGGCTCAATTATAACATGCTCTTTACAACCATATGCACCCAAACATACCTAAAAAATATAAATATAAACACATAAACACTATAACAACAACCAAAGTCTTCAGATGTAAAGTTTTTTACTTGCTTTCCACAAACCAACATTGAAGTGATTGAAGGAGACAAACTAGCAACAGACTTTCCTAACAAAGCAGCACCATGCCTTAACACATCCCAATTGTATACTTTGCTAGCTTTTATGTAACAAATTTCAATGCTTTCTTGGACATTAAATTCTCCAAGAGAAAAACTAGATCCTAGAGAAAATAAAAAATGTATTTTACTGTAGCTACTGTGAGTTAAAGCTTATATTGCATTTCTTGTACTTTGATTACTAAAGAAACTTTTAAATTATTAATAATTCTAATATGGCTGTCTAAAAAGAAGTAAAACATTGAAATAAATTTATAGAAATAAATAATTTCGCAATGTATTATTACATGATTATATCAACAGATTTTTAAATAAAATTTTCATCAATGAAAACTGATTATGTTCAATTTTTAATATGTGTAATAAGAGCCTTATTTACTTACTAGCATTGTTGTCATATACTGTTTAAGAGTAGTAAATATCATGTTACATTACATGGCTTGATATAGTCATATAAAATACGTACTATTTTTAATACCCAAATTTTACTAGTTTTAAATAAGTATCAAACATCAATAATCATTGATGTATTCAGCATGAATCTACAAAGAGATTTTGGTAGACAAAGCAAGGTTTGTGTGTTGCAGACCAGATGAACAACGCAAGCTATAACTGATCATAAGTACCATGAAGCACCCAGCCCAGCCTCAGGTTTGATCATGCATATCAAGTAAGGGTATTGGTTAGCTTTACATTGTTAAAAGATTTAAATAGGGATATGCGCAGTAGACAATATTGTTAATAGATGCATTTATATTTAATTATTTGTAGTTGAAAATATATTTGTTAATAGATGGATTTTTATTTGTAGTTGAACAAATTTATTTACTGTTAGGCAGTATATATTTTACTAGGATTAAATTTCTAACATTCGTTCATGTGGAACTTTATCTTTTTTTATTGCAAATGTAAATATTATATTATTTGAGCTTCATGAACATTATAAGTGTATAGTGTCTTCTAAAATCTCATCTAGGGAGCTCTAAAGATAAAAAATTATTATTTTTAGACTCAATTTTTTTAGAGCAATAGTTTAATGTAAACAAATATAACTAATTAAATGCTAAATCTTAAACCATTCAACTTTTTTAAAACTTAAATTAGCAACTTTAAAAAATAAGCTGAAAAACTTCTTCAGTCTTTAACTCCCCTTAACAAGTTAGGGCAATAACATCCGTTTTTACAATGTATAATAACATCCGTGAAACAACATCCAAAATTTCATCAATGTATAACAACATCCATGCAATAACATCCCAAATTTCATTGATGTATAATAACAAACGTGCAATAACATCCCAAATTTCATTGATGTACAATAACAACCGTGCAACTACATCTGTAGATTTTTCGGATGTAACTACATTCGAATTTTTTTTTTTTTTAAATACATAATTTTAACCAGATGTAGTTACGCATCTGATTTTTTTTTTAATGTAACTACATCCGCCAAAAAAAAATTATTGTAATGCATTAATTTAAGCATAATAAATTTTTTTTTTTTTTAATTATTTGATAGACTGCCTGCCCAAACCTAACCCTCAGTCGATGTAGCAGCACTTCCGTTGCGAGTCAGGCTATTTATCAGTCGATGTAGCAGCACTCCGTTGCAAGTCAGGCTATTTGTCAGTCGATGTAGCAGCACTAATATAATATAATAACTATATATGTAACTTATAAATGTAACGACATCCAGAATTTTTTTTTAATAATGCATTATTTTAACCAGATGTAGTTACACATATGATTTTTTTTCGGATGTAACTACGTCCAAAAATTTATTTTATTTAATAATGCATTATTTTAGGCGGATGTAGTTACATATCGAGAAAAACTCTCGGATGTAGTTATATCTTTCTAAAGATGTTATTAGACATCAATGAAATTTCGGATGTTGTTGCACAAATGTTAATTCAGTAAAGAAAAAAAGCGGATGATCTTACACAAAAATGTGCGGATGTTATTTCACTACTCCACGGATGTTGTTGGACAGCTTTTCCCCCCTTAACACCTACCTATTTTTTGCACAAGTTCATAATTTATGATGCTGTTTTTAAAACAAAAAAGTTTTTGATGCTGATTGCAGTAGTTTTAAGAATATTGATGATTGTCATATGGTTACTCTGAATTTCATGAACATTTTATATAACACAAATAATATCAATAAAATCATACATCTATGAAATATATCTATAGCAATTTATTTCAATTATTATGACAATCATAAAAACAATTTCTGGTATTGCTTTAACATAGGCATAAGTCATAACGACGCCAATAGATAAACCAAGCAATCACTTTTGCTATATCGATGCAATGAAATAAGATCTTGAGGTACCATCTTTTTGTTTTGATTGATGTCCTGTATACACCCATTGATTTGTTATATTCTTGAACTACAGTTGGGCAATTAATTTTAACAAAATGCTTATGTTTTCAATCCCATCGTTTTGCCTTACTAATTGATTGTGGTTCACAATAGTTAGTAATCATTTGAATACATCTACTACCATTTAGTAACTGTTAAGCCACTGTTAGCATCAACATAAAAACTGTGACTATCTTTACCAGTTTTTTTAAGATTTTTTTCATCTGGTAATTGATAACCTTTTGTACAATCTGATTAAAGTGTGGTTGTTGCTAAAAAGACTTATCAAAGCCAATTATCAAAGGAAAGTTTAAAGTTTTGATTTTTTGTTAGCATTTCAATCAATCTCTGTACTAGATAAGAACTAGAACATTTTTGGTCACTGACTGAAAAAATCATAAATAATGTCTGATGATCCAGAATGTACAAAGTTTTTGAACCCCCAGCGATAACTTATAGCGATTGATTGACATAACATCTGCTATTGGTACATATGGAGTTTCATGGGTCCAATACATATTACAACATTCTGAGGAGGTAAACTAAAGTCTGTTTTGATGACAGTAGGAGTTTTATTTTGCCATTCAGGGATATACATTTCATATTTTGATGAATCTTTGCTGAAATAAATTTCATTTTTTTTATTTTCTGCATCAGTGTCTTATCAGATCTACATCAGAGTCAACATTAATGTTGTACAGATGCTTCTTGTGGTTGTACAGATGCTTCTTGTGGTTGTACAGATGCTTCTTGTGGTTGTACAGATGCTTCTTGTGGTTGTACAGATGCTTCTTGTGGTTGTACAGATGCTTCTTGTGGTTGTACAGATGCTTCTTGTGGTTGTACAGATGCTTCTTGTGGTTGTACAGATGCTTCTTCATCATTAACTTCATCCAAGTCTGAGATTTTAGAATCAGAACATGGAGCAAATAATATTTCTAATTCTTCTTTGCTGTTATTTGTCTTTTTTTCATATTAACATAAGTATACATAATAAAATGAAATTATACAAGAAAAGCAGTACTAAAGAGCAATAATTATATATTTAATGAAAAAATATTTTTATAAATAGTGATAAAACTAAAATAATATTAGCATTGTCTTATTATATTCTTAGTAATAACTAAAAAAAAAGTTGTAAATTTTCTTAAAATACTTTTTCAACAATACACTAATTGTTCGTAGTAACCATATGGTTACCATATATTTTAGATAAATATATTTTCTCATATATTCAGCTAAACCATTTCAAAATCATTTCTCTATACACATACAGAACTTGTTGATAAAAATAAAATAAATTTTATTTGAGAGAAATCTATAAGACATTTTGATAACTTGTAAAAAGGACAGTCTCACTGGTAGATTCATGGCTGAATACATCAATGATTATTGATGTTTGATACTTTTTCAAAAACTAGTAAAATCGTTTGGGTATTAAAAATAGTATGTATTATATATTACTATATCAAGCCATGTAATGTAACATGACATTTGCTACTCTTAAACAGTATATGACAACAATACTAGTAAGTAACTAGACAGAACTACAAAGTATATAACTCAATATTATTCTGAAAAGTTGTAGTAACCATATGGTTACTGAAAGCGATAAAGGGTTGATGTTAATCTTGTCGAATCATTTTAATCTTGTTTTAAAAAGAAAAAAAAAGCATCAAAGTACATAACTATTGAACTAACTAATTCATAAATAGTTAATTGCAAAATCAGATTTTGAAATTAACCATATCAAAATCATTTCGCTATACACCTACAGAACTTGTTGATAAAAATAAAATAAATTTTATTTGAGAGAAATCTGTAAGACATGTTAATAACTTGTAAAAAGGACAGTTACTTTTTAACCCACTAAACTTGACTCCAAAGATTCACTTGTTAATAACTTTTACCATGCAGAAATAACGTAATTGGTTAGTTCAATAAAAGTTACTTAGATCAAAAACTAAATTTGTATCAGTCTGTCTAATGCATAGTAAAAACATCATCACGATAGTTCACTTTATTTTCAATGATTGGAAACAAGTAAAGTTCTGAATTGATTGTTTTTAAAAAAACACTACTTTCAATGTCCTTTTAAACAAACTAATTGTAAGTTGTCTAAAACTTTGTCCTTGCGCAACACTCTGGACTTATTTTCAATAAACCTTTAGACAGCAAAAAACCTAAACGAATAAAAAAAAGACTTGGATAGAATATTGATGTTGCACAAAAACATCAGAAGCCAGAAATTGTTTCCACCTGTGGATTAAGGTATTTGTCCAAGGTTGGATTCATTGTAAAAGTCGTAAGCATATTATGTATTTTTGAAGAGACAAAAAAAAAATGCTATCAGGTACTGATTCTTTCATCAGTTCCCAGTTGTCACAGCAACAATAAAAACACAGTTTCCAGTTGTCACAGCAATAATAAAAACACAGGAAACATGCTCTTTTACTTTTTAGAAATTAAAAAAAAAAATGCTTCTAGTAAAATCAAGCTCACATTAACTAAAAGTGAAAAAAATCAACTCACGTCTAGAGACTTGTTTTTTTTTGTTTATTTTTAAAGATCTTGTTACGCACAGATCATGAAATTACCCATTTCACGAAATGTGCAATTTTTTGCTCATTTTGTGAGCAGGATAGTGTTATCGTGCAGATTAGAAACTATTGAATTTTTATTGTTGTTTTTTAAATAGTTATATTTATTATATGTATGTATATTCAAAATTGATTTAAATAGGGAATTGCACAGTTAAGTCTGCATACATCAACTGATTATATATATTAAAATACGCAGAATATATATATATATATATATATATATATATATATATATATATATATATATATATATATATATATGTATATATATATATATATTATATATAAATATAACTTTTTTTATCAATATAAAAAAAAATTAATATAAATAAAAAAAAAAGTAAATTTTTGATACTTAGCTAATTTGACAGGCAACTTATTGTTAATTAATAATATAAAAAGTTTGCTTCCAACTTTATAATTTTTAAGTAAATTAACTAAAAAAAATTTATATAGCAATGACAACAATATTTAATCTTCTTTTGCATTTTTCTCTGTTTTCGAATGTTGCAAAACATCTGATTATAAACATGATATCTCGAGAAGCAGAAGTGCAAACTACTTCAAAATTTCAGTAAATGTTTATTATATTATTTTCTACGGAGTGACATTTCAAAATTTTTAAATTCTGCTCCAATCTTTTTTTTTTTTTTAATTTTCAGGCATAAAAACGTTTTTTTTTATTACTTGATGTAAAATAAATTGATATAATTGAAAAATCTTAAAATGTCTTAAAAAAATCCAAATACCTTACAGGTCTTAAAAAAATCTAAATACCTTACACGTCTTAAAAAAACCTTACATGTTTAGAATATATGTAAAAAATTTCACGGATTTAGTGTTTATATATTTCAAGTTATTGAGTTTTGATTGACCCATTAAAATGAATGTTTTTCATTAAAATAGGCAAAGTAAAATGAAGTATAAAATAGCATTCCAAATTTATTTAGTTTTTATTGATACAAAATTTATCTTTTTTTTTTTTAAGTTTAAACAATTTTGAATATTTGGTGGTGTACTACCTTAATAGATAGATATTTTATTTATTACTAAATTTATTCTTTTTGTGTGTAACACAGTTGTTAGGAAGTTTAGTGTGACAAATAAACATTCCCATACAGTATACCTTGATTTATAACTAACTTATAGCTGATTTAAATTTTTTTTTTAAATATAAACTAAAATTGGTATTTTTCATGTCTTTGTATTTATAATGATCATTTACTAAAAATATACTAGAATAAAAAAAAATAATTCAAAATTTATGCCAAGAAAAAAATAACAACTTATATGTTATTTATAAACATTTTTTATTTTTTTAAATTCAATTGTTGTTTGAAATTCAATTGTATATTTTTGGTTCCAGTTTGAGTGAATAAAAAAACAATTTTCAATTTGGTTCCAGCAAAATAACAGTTAATTGCTATTATTCTTTTTTGTGTAAGATCAAACCATTCAAATAACATATAAAAGCAATGCAAGCAACTGAATAAAATTTTCCAAGGATGCCTCAGACAGCAAAAAACAGAGGATATACTGCAAGTGTGAAAAACATATATCAACATATAATAAACATAGATATTTATTTAAAACAAAAAACTACTTTTATTTTTTACCTTCTCTATGCAAAATAATATCCAGCAAACTCATTCGTTTATGCATGTTTGTTGCCGAATGATACAAATCAACAAGCTGAGGAGTAGAAAGATCTTTAGCACTTTTTAATTCTTCATCAGTTTTATCTTCATTATATTCAAGTGCAGGATGACATTCAGATTCAAAACCAGAAAAATTTAGAACATCTTGATTAGTAATAATATTGCTATAAAAAAAAGTTCTTTATTAAAAACTGTTATTAAAATTTATTTATAAGAAAATTTTTTATTAGAAGCTGTTATAACTATCATTTTATATAAAAACTTCTTTTTAAAGTATTCAAAAACAAAATTTGTTTCTTATTCTAAAAATAATTGTAATAATACTTGAAGTACATTTTGGAGCAATGTTTTGTTGTTAAATAATCAAGATGTTCAACACAACCTGTAGAGACCAACATCTAAAACAAATGCAGACAATAATACAATCTATATATAGCCTGTGAAATTTAATTTTTTTAAAACCTTATAAAATTTTTATAAATGACCATAAATTTATAGCAAAACTTAATAAATTCTTTGCAAAAAAACATTTCATTAAATTCATCTCTTAAATGTAATTCCAATTTTTTATGGAGATACTTTAGAGATAACCTAAAACCTCTTACAATTTTACTATTTAACTTACTCTCTGATGAACAATTCTCTTGTTCTGTTGACTTCATCGACATTATTGTTGACATAAATTTATCGCGCATTAAAGCAGTGAGGCTATTGCACTTGACATATAAAAGACTTTCAATAAAGTCTGACATGCTTGTTTTATATAATGAATCCAGTAATGATTTTAAAATCGAGACATTCCTTTCGAAGCACAGTTTTAAAGTCATTCTTGATGAAAAACACTCTCCTTATAAATGGCAGCACTCTTACTAATTCATGCATTTTATGTCCTCTTGGATTATTATTTATTATTGATCTTTTAGAGGAACTATATATACATTTATATATATATTACAACATATATATATGTAATATATATACTATATATATTACAACAAAAAGAAACTATATATTTAATTACAATGTTAGCATATGCTAAAGTTGTTTCTCTTAAATCTGTTTGTCAGTTCCTTACTCCTAAATTAATTCTCTATAATTCTAAACAACTATTTTGAAAATCTCTAGAAATCTCTTTTTCATAATTGTATAGAATACTGTGGTATTGTTGTACTATTGTATTGTTGGACTGATTTTTCTAATTAGGCTCACTTTCTTTTTTCTAATTAGGCTCAGTTTCCAAAAATGCATTGTAAATGTTGCTAAGCTAGTAAAGTCTAAGCCCCTGTCTTATCATCATAAAGTTGCATCTCATTCTCTTTTGAAACATTCAAGGTGCAGTTCACCCACTTTTTGTCTTTAGCACATTCATTAAAAGAAGTAGAGTTTTAAGTGAGTTTTAGAGTTTTAAGTCGCATTTGAGAATCAATTTTAATGATTCAGCAAAAGAAATTTGAGTTTGCTAACCTTACTACCATACACACATCACTAAACACCAGATTCTAAATGTTGGTGTATATGGACCATTTAAACACTTGTACAATAATATAGTAAATTTTTGGCTTGTAGCAACTCAGGAAAAGCATATTTCATTTTTGAACAAGTGAAACTTTCAGGATGAGCTTAGTTAAAAGCATCATTGCAAGACAATTTTTGTTAACAGGCTTGTGTCCATTTCAACCCAACATGGAAAGATTAAGACCTCAATCAGGTATAATATCTTGCATTTTTTATTTCTTATGTTTTTGAACAGAATTAAAATTTTTGATATTTTTTTCAATTAAAAATATCAAAATAATGAATTATTTTTATATTTTTAATTTAAAAAATATCAATATCAGACAAAATTTAAACTTTTGTCTAAAATCCTTATATGGTTTGTTTATATTCTTAAGGTTACAGATAGTCCAAATCTCAATCAACATTAACTGATAAAATAGAAACAATATTCAACTGCTTCAGTGGACCAACAGACTTTAATGTCCAAGACATTAAGGGACCAATTGAATTAACAAATTACAAATGAATCAATAACAACTACATAGATAATTACTCCTGTCATCATTCAATCATTTCTTAGAGTTAGAATAAGAAAAACAGTAACCAATTACGGAAAGAAGAAACTTTGCCACAAAAATAATAAAACCAGAGTACAAAAACCAAAAAAAAAAAAACCCAAATAAAAAACGTAACAATAAAGTAGCAAATTAGTTTTGCAAAAAGTTCTGTTGAAAGTTGCCCAGAAGTAATAAAGATAACAAATAAGTTAATATAATTCTTGAAAACAATTTGCAAAATTGTCTTATATATTAAGTTTATTAATTATATATATATATATATATATATATATATATATATATATATATATATATATATATATATATATATATATATATATATATGTATATATATATATATATATATATATATATATATATATATATATATATATATAAATTAGCAAAAACACTTATCTAATTTTTTTCTTCTACAAATTGTTTCATCATCAGTAGGTTCATCAGGAAGAAGCATTATGTTTAGAGGACTGTTTGTTTTTCTTTTTTTTTCTTTTTAAGAACAAAAATTTAAAAGACTTACATATAATATACCTCCCCTAGAATTTTATGTTTTTCTAAATAAAAATATGAATAATTAACCAACATTTCTTACAATATGACAGGATGTCAACACAATTCACTGCTAATTTTCATTTACTTAATTTATGTTTTATTCGCTAACTAATATAAAACCATATTTATTTCCTTTTTGCTTCTCCCATGAGACCCTTCGCAGGCACTTGGGAGAGAAGCATTCACTTTTCATAAGCTAGCGATAACTATAACTAAAACTTTTGCATGTTTCTTTTATAAAGGTTAAAAAGATTTATTACATTGCGTATTTATAGCAAGGTGGATTCATTCAAAATTTTTATCAATTCATTCAAAAGTTATTAACTTTTTTTTGTTGTTCTTCTGGATACGCTGCTGTACACATATACATACATATACACATATATACATATATTAACAATTTACTGTTAATTCATAAAACTTGCCTGCAATCTACCAAGTTTAATATTTACACCATCAATATTTCCAGTTTTCAGCTCAGCCATAAAATCAACCATTTCAGATGAGAAATGACCCCTAAAAAAAGTACATAACTTTATGTATGTATGTATGTATGAATGTATGTATGTATGTATGTATGTATGTATGTATGTATGTATGTATGTATGTATGTATGTATGTATGTATGTATGTATGTATGCATGTATGTATGCATATACATATGCATGTATGCAGGGATTGAAATAGATGCCAGATAATGCCCCCCCCCTTTTACCATTCTTAAGATCTTCTAGAGAAGGGCAAACAACCATTGTTCATTTTATCAAAAAAAAATGAACAATGGATGTTGCCTTTCTCAAACAGATCTCACAAACAGTTGGGGGTGCCAATATTCAGCACTTACTTCAACTCATGTATATGTATGTATGTATGTATGTATGTATGTATGTATGTATGTATGTATGTATGTATGTATGTATGTATGTATATATGTATGCATTAGAGTGGCGCTTAAAACAACTTTTTTGAGAAAAACCTGCTCCCACCTCCTAAATGTGTTCTAATACAAAAACACTAAGTTTTAAAATTTTTTGAATAAAATATATTTTAAGGGAAGCCTCAAGACCCTCGAATATTTAATATTAATATTTTCATAAAAAAAGTTTTTCAAAAATATGTTAACCTGGTACCTGGAAATTATATAAAAATTCCAAAAATTATATTCAAATTGAAAAAAATTTAAATTATCATAAAAAACATAAAAAAAAAGCATTTTTTTCATTTTATTGTTAAAAAACGTAATTTTTTAAGTAATAAAACCAAAATTAATTTTTTTTAAATGAATATTATTTTTGAAATTTTTATATAATTTCGCTTCATTTGAGTACCAGGTTGAAATATTTTTGAAAAACTATTTTTTTTTGAAAATATTAGGGATCCATTAAATATTCGAAGGTCTTGAGGGTCCCCTTAAAATATATTTTATTCAAAAAAAATTTAAACCTAGTATTTTTGTATTAGATAGAACCCATGTGGAGGGTGGGAGCAGGTTTTTCTCAAAAAAGTTGTTTTAAGGGCCACCCTAGTATGCATGTATGTATGTATGCAAATGACATTAAAAATAATTCACCTAAAATTATGATCTTGCAAGTAAAGACATACAGTTGGTCTCCCCCCAAGATTCCAGCACTTTCGAATGAAAGCCAAACAAGTCTAAAATAGAATAAAAACATAAGTAGAACTTATGAGTAGTTTTTGAGTAAGACAACTACTCAATGCAACATTTTTGTTTTCAATGTTTTCTTTTAAGCTTAAATTAATTTTATGGCCAGGTAAATTGAAAATATTGTAAACTAATAATTTGTCTATTAATAATGCCATAATATATGCTATTATCTACTCCCTGCATGCTTGAGTGTCTAGAAAATTTAGCTAAGAAATTTTTGCAGACAGGTTTGCTTGGATAACATAGAAACATACAAGGACAAGAAAAATTTTTAAAATTTCTACTTTCATATAATTTGTTTTTAGACACTATTGTTTTTATATTCTATAATCTTTAAACCTATTTTATGCAGTATAACTTTTACCTTTAGATCGTCAACAAGTAATGATTTATCCAATGACATGTAAAAGCCTTCTTGGTCAAGTATTAATGGATATGTAACCACTGTTTTACCACAAATCCTATATATCTAAAAAGAGGTATCAAAAGTATGTTACAAATTGAAGTTGGTAAAACTAATTTACTTGATTATTTGATGGATTGAATAATTAGATATTAGGGAAAAAAAAAGTGAAAAAAACTGTTTCTAAGTTATAAGTATTAGTTTTGGCAGTATCTAAAACAACATATATTAATACAATATAAAAACTGTAAAATATTGTAATTTCTAGGCATGTTTTTTGAAAAAAAAAAAAAATTAAAAAAGTGAACTTATTATCAATTATTAATTATTATTATGTTATTTTTTCATTATTATTATGTTATATTTTCTTAAAAAATTTGTATGAAATTTAAAAGGGATATTTTTATTTTAATATTAGACTTAAAATTTAAATTTTTGCATTTCAATTTAAAACTAAAGATTAAGATTATTCAGAAAATACTTTAAATACAGGCCTAATATCTAACTTTCTAAATACTTTTCATTTAAATACAGGCCTAAAATCTAACTTTCTAAATACTTTTCATTTAAATACAGGCCTAATATCTAACTTTCTACTAACCTCTCGAGTTTAGACAAATCCTTCTCTCCTTTCATAAGTGTACACTCTACTTAAAGCTTCTGTAATTTGCTTTACCCAATGTTCAACAGATTGTCCATAACAACGCCAAATCGGCATCTGCATAGAATTTGATAAAAATACCTTGATTTCAAAAGTTGTTAGAGAGGTAGTTAGGAATGATTCATAAACCGATGACTTCCATGATATCAGGCATACCAGTTTTTTAACATTAAAGTTCAGAAAAGGAATTTTTTTTGTTGTAGGAGAAGAGTGGCCTTTTTGTAGATATTCGTTTCCAGTACCTCTAATATCTTTTATCTTATTATTAGCTACACTTATATCTTCTTCAGTATCAGAACACAGCAATGATCGTAGTGTTCACACTCACTGAAACAAAACCAAGACAGTCTTTGAATAGAGGGAGATACCATTTTGACATCTTCTTTCTAAAATTTGAGCTGGTTTAAGTTCATGATTAGGACCTTCAATCCAAGAATGTTCATCTTTGATCTTAAACCAACAAGGAAAATAAACATCAACAACGATGAAATTGGTGATAGTCCTTAAATTTTCTAAATCTTTACCTTGAATTCCATGTTTAGAAATTAAAGTGTTATCCTTCTAAATTAAATATGGAGAAATTCACAACCAAACATGTTGAAATAATTGAATTTTATGTGCAAAAGAGACGATCAATCTCGCTAATGCAAAGAGCTTACACTCGTCATTTTGGAGTTAAAAAATTACAGTTCAAACAAATGATCTCTGAGTGATTTACCACATACTATGAAGACACGTTCAGGGAGTTCACAGGACAATATTAAGCGTGAACAAGGAAACATTGAAGAAGAGCTTTCTGTGTCAACTTGAAGGCAGTCCCAACAGCTAGAAATAAATCAATCTACGCTTCAAAGGACTCAAAAGATTTTGAAACTTGTTCCATATAAGATACAGGTAGTGCAGGAACTGGTGTCAGCAGATTATCAGACACAATTAGTGTATACTATCCATTCCCAAGAAATGGCAATGCAGGAACCTGAGTTTATTAATAACATTATTGGCCACAGGCTCACTAAACAGTTATGTTAATAAATAAAATATGCAATTTTGGTGCACAGAAAATTCAAGAATAGTCCACCAACATTGTCTATATCCTGTAAAAGCAACCATTTGGTGTGGTGTACATGTGAGATAAGTTCTTAGATTTTATTTCTTTAAAGATGATGCAAAAAACATGCTAACTATCAATGATGAAAAGTATCAAGAAATGCTAGAGAATTTTGTGCATCCTGGGGTCAAGGACACACAAGAGGTATAGTGGCAGTAGCAATCTGCTACTGCCTAATCACCTCGCACAACAATGGAACTCTAAAGACGAAAAGAATAATCTCACAAAATTCTGAAATAAACTGGCCATAATGCTCACCGGACTTAACAACTCTATGGGGGAATTAGAGTATATAACATTAAGCCTAGAACTGTTTACCAATTAAAAAGCAATATTTATGAAAAAATTGAAAACAAAAACTAAGAAACATTACAACAGATGAAAATTCATTCCCTAGAAAGGTGGATATTGAAATAATGCTATTTTTAAAATCAAATAAAATTTACTTCCTAGAAGTGGGTTTTCAGTTAGGAAAATGATAAATGAAAATTGAAAAAATTACTTATTATTATTTTAAATGGTGTAGTGATTAGTGGGCCACCCTGTGTGTATGTGTGTGTGTGTGTGTGTACATACATACAAACACACACACACACATATATAACTTATATTAAATATTTTTTTACTATTATATACCTTACTAGTTCCTAAAGCTCCAAGTGGACGAACTGGCCTTCCAGATAAATTTAATTTTTGATTCTTTCCTAACTCTTCATAAACCTGTAAACATAAATATCTTTAAACAAAAAAATTCAATAATACAAAAACAATTGCAGAGAATTCAAAATATTCAAACATACACGAACTAGTTCTTGAGGAGCACATATAACAATAGGTTCAATTTCTTTAGGAGTTTGAGTTTCAATACCATATGTAGCCAAGTTTGCTTGTAAACTTAACATAAGAATAAACTAGTTTTAGAAACTTTCTATCCTTAAAAAAGTCATCAGGAATATTATACATATAATCTCTGTAAATTTTCACTTCTTTTGTATGTATATGGATATATATGTGTGTATGGATATATATATTATATATGTCAAATGAATGTTTTGCAAAGAGTTGCGGTGATTGGAGCTTGGGGACAAGAAAACCCAATTTTTGGGCCTACCCAGCCCTTAAAGTGGGAGCAACAAGTTTATAAAATAATTTTCTTAGTATTTTTATCTAAGTTTATATTCATCAACAAATTTCAAATTTCATGCAATAATCTCTTAGGGTTCAGTTCTTATGGCTGTACAAAGTTTACAGCCCCCTCAAATTGAGGGGGGTTAAAACTTTATATGGTCATAAATTTTGAAATATAAGAGATTATTGCATGAAATTTAAAGTTTGTTGATGAATATAAACTTAGATAAAAATAATAAAGAAAATATTTTATAAACATGTTGCTCCCACGTTAAGGGCTGGGTGGGCCTAAAAATTGGGTTTTTTTGTCCCTAAGCTCCAATCACCGCAACTCTTTGCAAAACATTCTTATTTGACATAAGCATCAACATACAAAAGTTTGGAGTTTGCACAATGTCTGTAAGTGTCAAAATTCAAACATCTAAAAATCTACTATATACATATATATATATATATATATATATATATATATATATATATATATATATATATATATATATATATATATATATATATATATATATATATATATATACACACACACACACACTCACACATAAAAAACGTCGTTTACGTCATGCTAATTTATTTGACAGACGCCCAGCTAATTAGTTTCTGTAAAAAAACGTAACACCTGAAAAGAATTTGCATCAGAGCATCTAAAGTAGAGTAGTCAACAATGGTCAAAAATTCTTTTTAGTGATGAAAGCAAGATTTTACTGTTTGAATCAGATGGAATCAAGTATGTTTGACATCCAGTAGGTACAAGATACAATCCTAAACACCAACTGCCCACTGTAAAAAATGGAGGAGGTATTTCAATGGTTTGGGGATATTTTAGCCAGGATGGAGTTGGTCTGCTCCATAGAATTACTGAAACTAAAAATTAAGAAAAATACAATGATATATGTAAGACTATTAGGTTGCCTCATGCAAAGGATAAAATGCCTCAAGGATGTATATACGAACAGCCAAATCAGTTTTTGAGTTTGTCAAAAAGAACAAAGTTAATGTTTTGAAGTGACCATCCTAATTATGTGACTTAAATTCAAATGAACATCTATGGGAACATGTTGAGCGTCAAATAGAAGGAATTAAGTCTACAAATCATGCTGATTTATTTAATAAAATCAAGTATGGGACTCAATTCTCATTGACGTTTGCATTCACTTAGTTGACTCTATGCCTCATAGATGCTAAGCCAATCTTAATTGTAAAGAATATCCTACAAAATACTGATGTGATTTTGCTTTTATATAAATTTGTGGTCAAATATTGTTGAAAAACTTGGTCAAATATTGTTGAAAAACTATTTTAGAAAAAAAACACTTTGTCCGCAAATTTTTGAACTTATCAAAAATCCTTGATTTGTATACCAATTTTAAATTATTAATTAGGTAATCATTATTTGTTCAAAACATGATTGTAAACTTGAAAACCTTTTAATTGGTATATAATATGTTGGCTTTAATGAAGTATGTGCTGATATATTAGTAAAATTCCTTATTTTTATATCTGTATATATATATATATATATATATATATATATATATATATATATATATATATATATATATATATATACACACATATACATATATATATATGCATATATATATATATATATATATATATATATACACATATACATATATATTTATATACACATATACATATATATATATACATATATATATATATATATATATATATATATATATATATTATATATATATATATATATATATATATATATATATATATATATATATATATATATATATATATATATATATATATATATATATATATATATATATATATTAGTTTTAGCTAAATTAAACAAAATTAGAAA